GTATAAAAAAAAATTCACAATATTGTCATTAAATTATATTATACAAGGGAAGCAGTTATTACTGTATCATTTAGAATTCTTACAATTAGGCTTAAATGTCTTCACAAAGTCCGTAAGTTCAAAGACATACTAAAAATACATTGAGCCCGCATATGTGAGTCTACCACAAATCTGCAGAAGCATCTGTTTGTATAAAAATCAATGTGCAAAAAATTCATCAGATCATAGAGATCCTGTAACAAACATATAAAAAGAATGCAAAGTCTATGTACAAAGAGAGTCCACCAGAGTTTGGCATCTCACAAACGTGCAACACGTGCAGATAGATCAGACGTCATACTGAAGTCCGGGGTTTTCTGATGACTAACTGGACGGGACCCTCAGAGACTGTTTTAATGATGTTCCAGGCATCATAGTGCATAAGGCCCTGCAAAGACCTGCCATTGATGGCTAGAAGTTCATCTCCGACATCAATGACCCGGGACTGTTCAGCGGCTCCTCCTGTCACAATCACACAATCACAAAACGTTACATTCTTATGGTGCTCTGAGATGAGCTAAGCTTTCTCTTGATACACAGGTTACACACTAGTCTCCCCCTAGTGGACATCTTTAAATGTTCGAGTAGAGCACTCACCATGGAAAATGCGTTTGATGTAAAGAGGTCGATCTCCATGGGCAGATGCTTTGCCTCCGTCTAGACTGAACCCTAAACCGGCTGTAGTCTTGTGTAACTCCACACTCAAAGCCCCGTCTGGCCCCACTTCCACACCTACAACACACCAAGAAGCCAATTAGGAACAGAAAAAGGTATGTACTCCATTATAAAAATCCAAGGTAATAAGTTAAAGACTGATAGCGAGTTAATCTTTTGCTACGAGAGTGACAATGACTCCAGATACTCACTTGTTTTATGTTCTCTGATGCTGTCTCTATGGCCTGGAGTAGGACAGATTCCAGTCTGAAGGGGAAGTTCTTGTCTAGGTGATGTTGGCTCAGTGTTCTTGCCCTTCTGGATGATCACTAATGCCTGCTTCGGCAGTCTGGTCTGATGAAGGCATGACAGCGCCTCTGCGTGTGTGATACCACTCAAGCTGGTCCCGTTTATTGACAAAACTCTGTCTCCTCTGTGAATGGTACCTTCCATGCCTGCCACCCCTCGAGTGAACACCCGATGGACCTGCGACAAAGAAATATAGCTTAAACTTAGTTTAGAAGGTTACTTCATTTAATCTTATTTGACGCTATATGTTACTACTGGTTCCTTTGAAAACCACAAGGGGAGATAATGTGTAATTATAAATGCTACTGAAAATGGCTACTGGTTTTTCATTAATTTATTTTATTT